AGCAGACCACTGTTATAATATTCATGCAGTCATTGTTCACTGTGGTTCTGGCGTTGAATGTGGTCATTATTACGCCTTGGTCAAAGAAGAAACGGACTGGTTTAAGTTTGACGATAGTCGTGTCACGAAGTGTTCTGGCGATGCATTGAATTTATTGGAGCCTCTGGAGACACCCTACATTTTGTTTTATGAGAGAGAGGACATTGTTGGATCAAGATCTTCAGATGATGTGGTGCTGCAGGTTTTTCCGGGTTTTCCTGCAGCTGAAAAAGCAAATGCGCCACTGGAATCAATGAAGTCGGCCCGGAGCGCCAATTGATTTTTATTGTTGTATTTATTTTATTTTTATCGTTGTCTTGAAATTGTGTATGTTGGAGAATATAATTATATATGTGGTATTTACTATTATGGTTACCACTTATAATCTAAAACTAATCTTATACTTTTTGGAACTAATCAATTACATATAGAACGACCTCAAAATTTGAATATTGAAAACATTACTATAAAATATTCAGATGACACCAAATTTCTAGGACTTCATATTGATGAATTCTTGAAATGGAATAAACAGATTGATTATACAGCTAACAAATTGAGCAAAATTTCGTATAGACAAAGGGTGGTTCACAAATATCTCAACAAAGAATCGGTAAAAATTTTATTCTTTACCAATTTTGAGTCTGCAGCCAGATATGGAATCATATTTTGGGGAAGCAATAGTAATATAAATAAAATATTTGTAATTCAGAAAAGAGCAATTAGAATGATGAGTAATTTGAAGTATAATCAATCGTGTAGATATGTCTTCAAGAATAATGGGATGATGACGATATATCTTTAACAATATTAATCAACATTTCTATGCAATAAGATGAAATGATTTCGTGCTCCCTATACATAGGTTAATCATTACAGAAAAAACTTCTCATTACATGTCAATGAAGCTGTACAATAAATTGCCAATTCGAATCATATATTTGAGGATCATAAAGAAATCTAAGAAAGAAATAAAAAAATATTTAATTTAATTTAGACTATTTAGACCAAACCGAATTATAGAAATGTATATTATGGGTATATGTAGTCTTTTTCTATTTTTTTCTGTTGACATTATTTCATTCTATGTTGTCTGTCTACAAGCTGTAATACAAGGTTTGATAGATAACGTTTCCTCGTTGTTTTACTTTCATATGCATAAATAACGTGATACAATTCTCTCGTGATAAAGTACCGACCACAAAGAAAAAAAGGAACAGAAAAAATGAGCTTGTTTTCGAATTCTCTACACAAACACATATAAAATGTGACCGACCGACAACAATAATACTTTTCAATACTGATTCGTGGTAACTAACAAATTCAATTTTTAAATTACTGTTTGCTTTATTATTGTATGCATCGCGCTTGACGGAAAACATAATTTTTGCCTGAAAAATGAAAAGGGATTTAAAAAAATGTATTGTGACGCCTGAGGATGCTATTATATAGCGAAACACATGTCACGGATCTGTAAACTGGAAATATCACATCAAAGTGATTTTTTGAATAGGTTATAATGAATTTTCGTCAAGTATCGGTCAGTTCCATCATATTTTGAAAATGAGAAGTCTCAAAATATTACTTATTTTTGCAATCGACTCCACCAGCAGATATGAACACTTTCTGGTCCCTTGTTACTACTTATTATGTTATATCAAATACTTGAAGTATTGTGTGTAGATTATAAAACGCCAAAAACCAGTTCAACCGTAGTATCTATCGCAATATCCGCATTTGATGATGAAGAGGCGAATTTCAGTTCATCATTTGTGGAACCAAATATCATGCCAAATATTTGATACACAGCTATTCAACACTTTCTCAAGCATAAATTTCCCATTAGACGGACTCTTCGCCTTCTGGTCTCACTTTTGGTATATATTTCAGTAAATCAATAGTGGTAGAAAGTGAATTGAGGTTATATATTGAATTTCAAATTCCAGTTATTGCCTGATGATAAAAACGGCCTCTAGAAAGCGGTTTCTAACGATATACTGGTTCTACACGTTGTATTGGAATATCAAACACTATGAATTCGTTTTTATATTATCTTGGTTTTAATGTGTGATTCATTGTCATTTCCTTCAAAAAAAGCAGTACCAAAAAATAAAGTGCAATCTTAGTATTATTCTACAGATATCGCTGATCATATTCCAAGATTCTTGAAATTTGACAATTTCTACTTTGTCGTATTGGTCGGGAGATTGAGTTTTTTCTTTGGAATGTAAAACTAATAATATGACTACCAAAGTTTTTTATTTTGCTAGAAGAAAAGATATGAATTAAATGAAATATGAATGCTATAATATATTTATTTATGAAAATTATTCTGAATTTTTTTTCATACTTTCATATTTTGATGAATACGACAGAGGCGAAACAGACGAAAAAACTGAAATTTTTAAAATTGATTTTGAATATATTCATCAACACAGAGTATTATACTACTACACACTTGTTATTTCTGTATGAAACAACCCCTTTCGACTATTAAGAGTTGTTGTTCGTAGGGGGCGACAGCAGGTTAACGGAAAAACATATTTCAACAGATTTTTAACAAATTATTGGAGACTTTGATGAAATGATTTCCTATTTTCTTTCGATTCTCAAGATCATACGGGCTTGCCGCATCAAGGCAGAAGTCTTAGCCGGACAAATTCAAAAGGCGGGTATTTTTGGCTCATTGTATTCAATGAGGGTACATGATTTTTGAACCTGATGATAATTCACTTCACTACATGTGGAGCGGTCATTGCTTAGAGGCCTGTGCGCCCTCCGTGGTATCGGTTTTTCTGGGAAAGGTAACGACGGGATTAACCAATAATAATGATAATTCCGAATAGTAAACATTGGTTTCGATCAATGGAGCAATCCATCATTCAAAGTAACTTTTCAAGAAATGATTATTTGAGTATGTTCCATTAGATATAAAATTATTCATCGTTTACTTGTTATCTGATTTGCTTTCCGTGATTCATTTCGTAGTGCATTATCCCACATAGACTTTGTTAATTAACAGAAAATACATTTCGCCAAAGAGAAACAACCCTCGACCGAACAACCAGAAGGAATATATCCCGGCCATTATTCATCCCAAAGGGAAAACAACTATAACCGAATTGAGAACGACCACCAACGTATACGTTATAATCAATTCAAACAATTGAACCTGCAGCCCCGATATCTGTATCCAAGCTGAAACTGTCTATGTATAATAATGTTGGAACGACAATCTTCAAAGAGTTTTTTTATATAATTCTTTGAAAGACATTTTCAGAGGAATCAATATGTTTTAGATATATCTGGATTCAGATTGAAGTGACTTCGTTATGAAGTTTTTAATGATAGAACACCAAAACTTGTTTCAGTGATCTGTGAAGAAAATCAAGTAACCTCAGTTTGAGAGATGAGCTTATATTTTTCTTGGTAATAAGCAGAAAATAAAAATTATTTGTAAGAATGTCGATTAAATAGAATAGAGCAACGAGAGTGATCCAGGGCGTTATTTTTCACAATTCTACTCTGGCAGGATATTTTTTTTGTAGAATTTTCCAGTTCTATAAAGTAGAATATTTGGAGGCTTCATTGAATATAAACCAGCCAATTATAATAATGTTCTAAATCAGGACTTGAACCTGAATGTGAAACTACAGCACACAGTTTAAAATTATGATTATATAAAATATTTCCGTCAATGTTTTCGTGGTGGCCGTGGTAGTAGACGGACGTGCCGATAACGCCAGTCCATAAAAAATGTACGCGGATGCCACGTGCTATCGCGGGGCTTCTATTTATGTTGTGATTGTCTATTGTGCAAAAACATCAACGTGTTGAAGTTTATGTGAAAGTCTAGAAAAAAATCTGAAGTGAGGGCCCCCTTATTCACGCCAGTATCCAGGCCGGGTGGTTCTGATAACCACGTGAAAGGGGCCATGTATGTGAATTTAAAAACCCGAAGGTCTCCCGCAGAGGAGGCGACTCAAAAGGTCTTTCAAGCAGAAGGCGACAATAAAAAAGTTGAATTGTTTTCATCGTAAAAAAGTTCGACAAAAAAGGGGGGGCAGCATTGCTTCGAGCAAGAGCACTGCCCCCCATACGAAGCTCCTGTCATCTTTGTTAGGAGGAGTCTGGACAAATGCGCCCGAGTGGGAAGCAACGTCCAACAAACTTAGAGAGAGTGAGAGAGAAGTATGCGTCGTGAACTTTACTTGAACAGAACAAAGTGTAACCGAATTGAAAGCGACTTCATAATTTCATAAATAATTGTTCTCCCGGATTGCCGTTGGAAGTATATCAGTTTACCATATTTTTCACAATCTTATTGCCATATCTCGAAAACTTGGGCTCCACATTTCAATTTTGAAACCCTTCGACGTTGAATAGTCCACAAAAGTACATGAATGAGTTTATCTTGGGGTGAAACCTATTTTTCAGGACTCTCCTTTGCACAACAAAATGCACGACCGATATCATATCTGTTTTAAAAAAAATCTGTTTAAATCTGTCTTTCCGTTAATCAGCTGTCGCACCCCTACGAACGACAACCCTCAGAAGTAGAAGTTTGTGCGAGCTAAGGATTACCGAGGTCTTACCTTTCAACGTGTGACACTTAACACGGGTTGGACGATAGCAACTGAAAATTGATCGTTCAGACTAGGGCTTGAACCACCGACCAACACGGCAGTCAATTCCAGTGAGTGAACAAAGCACCCACGTCGAACCGCTTGGCTACCGATCGATATCATATTACTGTTCATTCATGATTGCGTCTATTGTTCGTTACTTTTCTTACAAAAAAATTATAGAAAGTTGAAAATACTAAGTTGTACATCTCGGAAGACGTACAAGCCAAAACGTTATCTGTTGATGTGTCACATTATCTGCTGATGAGTTAGATTATCTGTTGATGAGTTAGATTGTTTTGCACATGCTATTTCATCATTCAAAAAAGGGTTGTTGCGGGTATTCATACTCATTACTGTGAAATAATTGTATTATAAATTGATGAATGATGAAAACCGGCGAGTAAAATAGATCGATTTGATCACTTAACAGATTACTTCCGCAATGCTTATGAATATCCAAGGATTCCAGATAATTGAGTTTCCGTAGCATAGCTTGCAAAATGAAAAAATTCCGTATCGTTTCGATTCGGAAACTTGTGGTTGCATAGTTTGGAAACGATGAATCATTTTTACCTAGTCTGAAGGACCTTTCATGTTCAGCATACCGTTTTGAGAAATTTCAACCACATCGTCCAACATGAACCCTATTACACTCAGTACACATAACCTTATGAACTCCAGATTTCTGCATCTTGTCCACTTCATCTTCGGCATTGAAACAATTTAGAAATAAAATACTTTGTCTAGTCTAGTCTTTGTCCACTTATTTAATGTATTGATATTAATACGACCAAAGTTTCAGTTAGACAAAGTATTTCGGTTAGACAAAGTATTTCATTTCTATATCTATATCATTTAATTGAAGATTAATTTCCACAAAATAAATAAGTCATCAATATCACAAAAAAAAACAAAAATGAAACATGATCTCGGACCATTCACTCACAGAAACCAAAGTCAGTGCTCCAACAAACCCCGTCAGTTTTCTATATCCCAGCTGAAAAAACGTTCCCTGCAAGTGTTCGTCGACGAATATCTCTCGAATACTTTTAACATCAATGCTGGTGTTCCCCAGGGATCCAAATTGNGCAAGTCAGAGTCGATTATAACTCCAAGATTTTTGCATTCATTTGTGGGTTGTAAAGGAACATTATCAATCGTGATTGTTAGAGATTCACTTGTTTTCTGGCGATTCTTTTTTGATCCGAAAAGAGTTATTAGGATTTTGAATTGGGGTGAAAGTAACCAGGTTCAATTCAATGCAACGAAAACCCAGGCATCGATTTTATCCAAAAAGATAAATGTCTCCGAACCGGATATAATCATTTCAGGACAGACAATTCCGCTTCGATACGTTTTTTGTGGGTTAAAATGGACTCCAAATGACATGGCACAATCATGTTGCTGGAATTGTAAAGGCTCCTTCCCAAAAGGAACCAGAACCAGAGAACTGTACACACCTCAACAACTTTTGATGCTTTATAAAGCTCAGATTAGACATTCTTTGGATTATCGTTTTCATATATGGAGCTCCGCCCTGAGCTCCGCCCCGAGCTCCGCCCCTGAAGCTGCTGGATTCCATCTAGAAGAAAGCCATCTGCCTGATTGGAGACATGAACATCACTTGCAACTTTGAGAGTCTGGAACATCGAAGGAAGGTTTGAGATTTGTCAGTATTTTACTTATTGATGCTTTCAAGAGAGGTGTTCAAGTGACTTGGCATATTCGATTCCACCAAGAGCGGTAGGTACATATCAGAAATACGCAACGGACTGTGACTGCTCATCGTTTTGAAGTTCAACTCAGTACACATCTATTCGAATCCAACGTGAATCGCTACTCTCGTACAGGCACCGCTCTTAAAGCGCCTTAAGGATTTTTCTGTAGTGTTTTTCTTAAAAAAAATAAGACCGATATACATGTTTGCCACAAATTTCGCGGTTAGAGATTCAAAACGAAGAGAATGAACAGTCATCCCGAGGACAAGGATTACTTGATACACATCAAGGGTCGTAAACTGATTATGGGAGGGGAGCTGCAATTTACTTTGATGGGGGAAATTCACATTTCAGTCACCCGCTTAGTTAATACACTTCCAGGCTGAATGCAATTTCGCAATGCACATGGAATATCAATTTGGGGTCTCAACAAAATGAGCGGCCCTTGGGGCACAGATGAACACAAAAATTGACATCGAGACTGGTCTGGCTGTCAGGATACTTAGATTTCATGAGACACTAACAGGCACATATTTACAATTATCGGATTGGAAAGTATGTAAGGAACATAAAGAGGAAAATAAAATAGGAAAATAAACTAGGAAACACACATGGAAAACCTTTAATGCGCAATGTTGCATATCTGGTACGACCATTTTAAATAGTCATTGGCATCGTATTGCTCGAAAATAAATGCCGAGCTGGTCGCTGTATCCGATTTGAGACACCCAAAAGTATATTGCATTTGGGATTGAAATCGCGTGCAGCTTTTGTTCGGTCAGGAATTATATGCCTAGTTAGTTGGTAAAACATTTGCGCGTAAGCACTTGGTTAGTACTACTGCTGGAATTTATCTCATTTTGATATCTTTCATAGGATTATAACGTTGTGAATGTGTCAGAGCTGAAATAAAGGTGAGGTATATCGATATATAAACTTACTACATGCACAAATATATTTGATTTCCTACAACTACGCGATAAATATTGTTGTCTCAAATCTGATACATAGCGTTTTCTAGGCTGTAGAAAATGAATAGCAAGAAGGCACTGAGTGAACGAGAGTTAGAAGAGATTGCTGCTAATTTTTTCAATAGTGATGATGATTTCGACCTGAGCGAGCCTGAAGAAAGTAATAATGAAATACTTTTAGCCGATAGCTTAGTTGACAACCCATGCGAACTAGATATAGAAACCCTACCCATCGAATAAATTTGCAACCTGGAACATCCACAAATGAAAATTGTGTCATTCCTCAACCTGGATCTTCAGGTGAGTCTCGAGTTACTACTCAGACATCAAAAAATGTTACGTGGAAGATAAAAAATTTGAAAATCGACGACGCTGCTAGAACTTTTTCTGGAAATGATATGCTACCAACTGATATTTTAGAGTTGTCGACGGCCTATGCATTTTTCAAATACTTCTTTGGTGATGACCTCATTGACAGAATTGCTTCTGAATGTAGTACTTATGCGATACAGGAAAATCCAAATAAACCAGCAGGGCTAACCAGTTTAGATATAAATCAATATCTTGGAATTTGTGTATATATGTCCATAGTACACATGCCTAACTGCCGAAGCTATTGGAGTAATTCGTTGTCATTTCCTCAAATAAAAAATGTCATGAGTGAAAAAAGATTTGAGTTTATAAGAAAATCCTTACATTTCAATGACAACGCAAATCTAGATACAAATGATGCTAACTATGATCGCCTACATAAATTACGACCAGTAATTGATCATCTGAATTCTAAATTCCGAAGTATTCCCCTGGAAGAAAAACTTTCTGTCGATGAGCATTTTTAATTAAAAAATAACGAAAAAAGCTGAGTTAGAATTTTTTCATCATTTTTCCGTGTTTATTCGGACCGTTATATATCCATTAATATTTTTTTGGGGGCTATAGAAAAAATTGCGCATTGAATGGTTAATAAAGGGGCTGTTCTAGAAGAAAATTGAAGAACTGCTTCAAGTAATGTAACAAAATTATATTTTGAAAATGCTACTAAATGTGTAATTGTTATTGCAAAATTAAAGTTTGTCTTCCGTTGTTATTGAATAATAAAAAACTATGCCTTTTTAAAGGACACTTAAAGACTGATTATAAAACTCAATTCAGCTTTGTTGCGGAATGTCGGAACATTAAACGGTAAATGCTTCATTACACATTGAAATGTTATCCATTTCCATGACCCCCATTCAAAAGGTCAAA